TTTCCCCCCCCACATGCTAGGCCTCCGCAGTGTCCTGCCATGATGCCACCACTCTGGCAGGCCCCAGTGCAGTCTCACATAAATTAAGAAACAAAAGCCAGTGGGTACTGGGGGAGCTGGTGCCTGACCAGTAAACCCCTATGAGGGAAGAAGGCTCGGAGAGGACAGCCACGGGAGCTCAAGAATAGGGCAGCGCCTGACACGACACGCTGGGCACAGCTATTGCAGAGCTGACTTTAGCCCCGGATAAAGGAGGTAAACTAGAGGAGCAGCTCTACGCCTGAGTAGATGAGTCTAATCTCTTCCTGAGCTTAGCCAAAGCAAATCCCTCCACGACACAGCCAGGCCAGCTGAGGGGAAGCCGATGCAGGGCTCGGCCCCAGGCAGAGTACAATACTCCCAATCAAATGTTGCTGTTAAACGCTGCACCCCCTGCATATCTACAGGAACCTGGTCACAGAGTACTGGACCCTGACGGATTGGAGATGCCTGCTCCCGTCGTTCTGACAAGAGGGGTTCAGTTAATCTGCCCTAGATGTTCACTGCCAGCTTTGGGAGGTGTACTGGGTCTATGGGGTTTAAGATCAAAGGTTGAAAGAGAGCTTCCATTCCACCCTTTTCCAAACTAAAGGCTCCTACAAACAACCCTGCCTAGGTACCTTGTTCTGCAAATACCTGCTAGTAGCAGATGAGCCCACAAGGATACAAACACTCCCAGCCAGCAGCAGCACTTTACAGCTTCAACGTGGCCTCCAAGCTGGAGCCAACACTCTGATATTATCAGATATTTGTTCCTGCACCCCTCCAAATCTTGAATCTAACATTTGGTAACACTCTATATGCTTTTCCACCTCCTGCATATTTCTGAAAACAGCACCGCCCCAACCACATGGAAAAACAAGTTCTTCTCCCTACGGTCCTCTGAAGATTGCCTGATCACCTTGGATCAGGGGTCAAAAAACAACCAAACAAAACAAACAGAAAAAAAACACTTTTTTTTTTTTAGACCTTTCAAAAATATTACTGCAGTTGCTGCAAGTAGCAGATACATACTTTATTTTACCAATCTTCATACAAGCCGTAGGCCACAGCTGAAGTCCTATAGGAAAGCCCAAAATGTGCTGGTGGGATTGCAGGCACGTGGTGGGGCAACTGAACGGTGAAAGAGCAACAGGAAGAGAGGAAGGAGGAAAGCCTGAGTTAAGAGATAAACAGCACAGACAGAGTCGGGATTCACTTCCCAGCAGCAGTTTACACAGGAAAATAGAAAGGAGTAATCATTGTTTTAGAGTTGAGAGAAATTAATTAAAAAAAAAAAAAGGTAAAATGGTCTCAAAACAAAAGACAGATTAAATCCACTTCAATCTCCTCTTGTATTTCTAGAATCCCAACTCAATCAGTCTCCATAACAGGGGGCGGGGGGGCTAACTAGGAAAATAAGCTGCAGGTAAAACTATAATGTATCAAATATCAAAAGAAAAAAGGCATGAAAATAGTAAAGAAAAATGAGTAGAATGTGATTAAATGGAAAAATCCACAGGAAAGAAGTGGAAGACAAAATTAAGACTGAGATTTTCAATGAATATATTTTATTTCAGCTATTTCAGAATATTTCAATATGAAGATGTTTTATTTATGATTATATTTTGGCTTTGAAACTTTGACATGCTGCTTAGTCTTGTTGGCACACATGCCACAGTAATACAAATGTTCAGTTATGGTGCCCCGAGAGGTGACAGCAGAAATACTGATCCAATTGCTCATAGTCAAGCTCAAAAGCAAAGTTAACAGGATAATGTTTGGTTTTGAATATTGCCTGCTATAACTTCAGTTCATCCCTTCCAGGCAAGCACCATCTCCTAATTAGCTGTCATTTTTAATATGCTTTACTTCATCCAATGACTTTTGCCTTTCCTGGAGCCGACAAACCTCCTGAGGAGGAATCCGTGCATGACAGAAGGGATCCTCGACCAGAGCTTTGTTCCAAGCTCAGCTCTGTCTCTTATGACCTGTATTCCCTGCTTAAAGACCTTCACCCTACTGCCCCACTATATATTATCACCCAAACACTGGGGATGCCAATAACTGTGTGGTTGCCCACTCCCCAGCTAGAGTGGGCAAAAAATCATCAAAATCCATTTATTAATTTCATAAGTTAACAGGATAATGTTTGGTTTTGAATATTGCCTGCTATAACTTCAGTTCATCCCTTCCAGTCAAGCACCATCTCCTAATTAGCTGTCATTTTTAATATGCTTTACTTCATCCAATGACTTTTGCCTTTCCTGGACCCGACAAACCTCCTGAGGAGGAATCTGTGCATGACAGAAGGGATCCTCAACCAGAGCTTTGTTCCAAGCTCAGCGCTGTCTCTTATGACCTGTATTCCCTGCTTAAAGACCTTCACCCTACTGCCCCACTATATATTATCACCCAAACACTGGGGATGCCAATAACTGTGTGGTTGCCCACTCCCCAGCTAGAGTGGGCAAAAAATCATCAAAATCCATTTATTAATTTCATAGCCTGCTTCATATCGGAAGCACACCGTATTTTTCTAAAAGAAGTTAAAATAGCTGCTTAACATTCATGTATGGACTGGTGCAAACAGATCCTCCTCTCTCAAGAGAAATTATTCCCAAAATATTAAAAAATAATTTAAAAAAAACACACATACGAAGCAATCGGGAGCATGAGTCAGAAGAACAAATTTATGAAATACTAGGATATCAGAAAGAGCATGCAGATGTAAAAGATGCCAATTTGTGAAAACAAAGCAGACACCCAACTTACTGCACCCATCTGATGTGCACCTGCTTTGCACCGAGTTCAGCAGAGTATCACGTGCACAGAAGGCCTGTTTTGTGAATGCCGTGCACAAGCAGATGTTACTAGCGGTTCGCAGTCCTCACCACTGACACACATTCAGATTTTACTACTGTCAGTGCGTACTATTTTGTACAATATCTTAAACTTCTTCTCTGAGCTCTACGGCAGTCAGAATAACAGAATATTATTCTTGCTTTAAATATTTATACTTGAGCACTTCATAAATGTGGCATAACTATGCATGTATAATTATAAACAATTAGTCATTTTCTGCTCATCACAACACAGACAAAAGGGCAGAATTAACATTTCCTATTCAAACAGCTACACTTGCAGTTTGGTATTTTGGTGTCTTCTGTGGAGAATATAGTTTGCATGGCAACACATGCAAAACATGGAGACGCTTCAAGTATGTTAAATGGAAAAACACACACCAACTACAGCACTCACAACAAGAGTGTGAGTGTGAGAACAGAAGCCAGAGCTATAAAAATCCAAATTGCCATTAATGAAATAGCCTTAATAAAATAAAATATTGACCAGAACAGTCATGCAGAATCTATTCCGAGTTTAATAAAGGCCAACGGTCGCTTTGCGCTTCCTAACTTCTAGAGGAAAGGAAACCCTCACCAATTAAATATAGGCTGGTAATAAGCAAATCATTGCTGATATACTGTAAAAAAGGTCACCAGATCAGACAAATATTAAAATATGTGCAAAAATAATTCAAACAAAAACACAATACTAAACAAATCCTGCTATAAAGATTAACCAATAATCTCCAAGAGACAGGAAGGCAGTCCTTCCTTATTCTCTACTTGCTAAGTCCGGGCATCTGTCCCTCAAATACAGTCGTGAAAACATTAAGTGGTGCAACAAAACTGTTCTCATAGCCATCAAACCTCCTTCTATCTGGATCCAACATCCCCAAGGACCTTTCATACAGACCTCAAGTGCAATTCATCTTGTGAGGTGACTTCAGCGAAGCACAATCAACCTATTTAGAAAGCTGCGGCTGGATAGCTCAGCACAGCAAAAACACCACAAACAGGGTTAAAAAGGCCATGGTACCCACTTCAAAACTTCATGAAAAAAGTTAAAACGTAGTTACCCAAAACTGAAATAGGCCAGAATTTCAAAGACTTGAAATTCAAAGAATTAGAAAAGTCTCTATGCCTATGCAGACACACAAAGCTGTATTTTGAGAGATGCTGTAAACACCACTCTAAGTAAATTCATGATGATATTAAGGCACGTAAATACTGTATGATCTGCATTGGGTACCTAACTTCCAGTTCGTAGCGACAGCCATCCTTGTGCTCTGCAACTTCCCCGTGAGCTCAAGTTCTGTAACCTGCTACGTTTTTTGAATCACACACCAAACTTACTTCCCAAGGCTGTCAGCACTGCTCAGAATGGGCCACCCTAGGATTCAGGCAGAAATGAGCTGCTGCCATCTGACCCCCTAAGGGAAGAGGGGTTTCAAATCAGGCATCACAGAAAAAGCTAAGTCTATATGAACAATATAAATAATCGGGTAGATTATACGGCTGAATTTTATTTCCTAAGTGTTTATACGTGAAACAATTCATCCTGCACAAAACACCTGCAGAGCAGCTCTAGAGAGATCCTCAAGTTTCATGCATGCAAAATTCACTTAGTGGAAGCTTTTTTGAATGTTCACAAAGTAACTCCCACTTCTGCCCATCTCGCCCTCCCCAGCAAGGAGAGGGTCCCTACCACACAGCATTTTCCAGAACCCTCCGCAACCTTCTCAAATTCAGTGAAATGCACAAATTCCACAGCTGCAAAAAAAGATTCATTTCAACCTAACTTTTAAACCCCTCCTAAGTCCAAACAGGAAATGAAGCATGAAAGTTCCTTGGGACAGCATTTATCAGATCAGTATTATACAGACATTTACTTAGTAACTAGGGCCCAAACTCTAAGCAGTAAGGGGTTTACTCTGGGAGTAGCACAAACAGATACAGCAACCTTCTTTAAACCCTCCAAGGAAGAACTAAGTTCTTTACAGTTGACAGGGTGGAAAGATCAATCTACAGCATCAGCTCTTCTACACGAGACAGTTCAAGTCCTTGGGTTTTACAACTGTCTAAACCTGTTACTTTCAGAAATCCTTTTTAGTAGATTAGTTTTTCCAGTGGGCATTAGGCTAACGCATTTGAGCACCTCTTTATGTAACAGTTTTATAATCCTATTGCCTCCACCACCTATTAAACACTAACTTCTCTGAGCAACTGTGAATGCATAAGTTAAACAAAGATTTATATATAAGGTATATACACACACACACACACACACCCACTAATCCACAGAAAAAAAAAAAAAAACACCCCTTCTCCCCCCTTTTCACTTCTCAGGATTTCAAGCCAAAAGGAAGCACATTAAATTACTCACTGCTGCTGCTGCCACATCCCTCCTTCCTCTAGAGCAGCCACTGCGAGAAGCACGGAGAGCCCTACGCAAGCAGCAAGCACCTTCCAGCCCTGAAACCCCACACCATAAAGAGACCTCTGTTATCTCTAAAAGGCTTCAGGAAAGAGTCGGCTCGAAACTTGCAGGATGACTGGAAAACAAGTGAGTGGCTCCAGGTTTCCTGCAGCCTCGGGGAAGCTCCCTAGCAGCGTCCCCCACGCTCCTCCCCTCTGCCCACGTCCCAGGGAGGAAGGCAGGCGGCCTCTCTCCCTCCTCTCTCCCAGGGCACCGCTGTGTCCCAGCACGGCGGGGACAGAGCGGGCGCTCGGGCACATCCTGATGGAGCAGCAGGTTCTGTCCAAAGCAGAACCGCAACGCAGGTTATAGCAAACCACACACAGAAACAAAGGCTCGAGCAAACCACAGTTTCTATCTGAGCCTTTCTGGCACCTGTTCATTCCATCTGGAGATTTCTAACATTAAAATTTGCTTCATTCTTACACAGACTAACGACCTCACGTCCACACCCACGCAGAAGCCCAGGCAGTCCCATCACGCTTCTGTCCATATTCCCGGCCACATGTGATGAGCGCAGTGTCATCAGGCACAGAGGTACGTACTTTATACGAGGGTCCTCAGGCTTATTTACTGGCATTCCCACAGGAGACAACTCGTTATGTTATTGCAGTCGCGAGGCTGCCTCTTGCTGGGGCTTTGCCCAACAACTCTCTTCTAGCAGCCCGGTAGAATCAGCAGGGCAGAAGCAATCGAGGCTCTTGCCACCTGGCCAAAGCCTCCTCCCTTCTGGACGTACATTAAGCCGACAGTCAGGTTTCCTTCCGTAGAGCTACACCTACACAAGAGGAATTTATGAGCACTCCTTGGCCAGGTAAGGGCTGGAATTTTCTCATGCTTCCAGTCAACCTGGTGATAATGGCAAAATAACACAGTGTAGACAGAAACTGAAGTACACACAGGAGTACAAAGCTAGAACAAACTGTATTATAGGTGGGGAGAGAAGTGACAGTTGTGGCCTGGTAACAAATATTGGCCTGCTACAGTTCACAGTGGCTTGAACTCTTCGGGCAGTGCACACTGGAAAAGCACGGAAGACGTTTCAAAGCTTTAGCAGCAGGTCGCGTCTATGCCACAAAGATCTTACTGCTGAGATTGCACAAACGTTTTGGGCAACAACTTTCTTTTTCAGAGAGCTGGTAACACAGAAACAGACAAGGATCCTCTGACTACTCTTCCTACTGAAGGATGTCAAGAGACACGGTATAACTAGGGACAAGGAAAAAGAGTAGCTCAGCTTTCTGCTCAAGAGGGACAGTTATTTTATGAGGATGATAATAAAACAATGCATTTCCAGGCAATAACTGGTAACATGCTACAAACTGCCTCAAATCAACTGTGAGGAGGAAATGTGCGAGTTAAAAAGAAACAGGCCATAGGGCCTCTGTGGGGCTGGATGAGAGTAAAAGTCACTGCCAATGCAAACCTTTTGGTTGTGTTTAGAACAGAAGCAGATGTGCGAGCTGCACTCTCTTTCCTTCTTACTTAAGACTCAATAACTGCCTGATGCTGACTGTAAAGCAACTCAAGTCATGGCAGCCCCGACTCCCTAATGTATAAATTACATTGAAAAATAGAAGGAAGTCTCACCATACTAGGAAATAGAGTAGAGGTTTAATTTACATAAATTAAACAAGCATCACCAAAGTAGGTATTTAGAGGTTTCATTTTCAAAAATTACTTTCTCCATGCACGTGAGCATCACAAAAGAAGATGCTTATGATAGACCTGAGTGGGGAAAGGCTCTGCAGCCAAATACAACAAAGCCATTGCACACCCAAGGAATGTGTGTCTTCTGTTCTAGGTAAAGTGGCACAGATAAGCAGCTTTGCAAGGGAAGACATTAAAAATGGACAGCAAGTGAATAAGCAGCTTAACACCCTAGAGCACTCAGCTGCAAGAGGCAAACGAGGATCATTAAATTCATTTTACAATCCAAATACATTGTACAAGTGAAATTAATAATAATAAAAAAAAATACCACAAGTGAAAAGTTCAATTCAGAATTCCAGCATTTAATAACAAAAATGAGTGGCCTCAGTTTGGTAGAGCTTACACAGATTGACATTTTCAGGTGCCTTCTCACCACAAATACTAGACAGAACTGAACAGAACAGTTCTTGGCAAAGCCAACCCCTCTGCAATTACTATCTGCCAGCTCTCTTTCTTCCATGTTCGAATCCTACTACCACAATTTCCCCTCTTACTGTAAAAGCCTCTGATCACTAAGGTTCCTGTCACAACAGCTGAAATGGCCAGAGAGCAACTGAAAACGCACCACCAAGAGGGTTTTTGTTATGTCATACACAACTAAGAGGAATTCCACGCAAAGCACTAGAATTCTATCAAAGCAACACAGTAAAACAGATTGTCACATAAATCACTTTTACTGCTATATTACCAGCATCAATGTTTTCCTCTAGTTTGCAGGGTGCCTGTGGACAAGGAGAGACTACCTTACACCACTTACACACAGCTCCCAGCCACATCTGGTCTCTATTTTCCCTCCTTCATCTGACCAGTGCAATGGATGGAACTACTCACTTTACAGTGACAAAATAAAAGCCTGGAAGAACTTGTTTGATAGCTCAAAACTAGAGAGGATAGCGAGATGCTAATCTAAGGAAGCGCCTTAAAAAATCCCCTGTGTTGCTTGGGATGTATGGCTTGGTAAATGATCATGTATATTTACTCAGAATATTTATCATTTTCTGGCTACTACTACACAGTTGATACAAAGGCTCTTCCTCTCTGTATCTCAAATACTAGAGAGTGGATATGAGTTATTTGCAATACCCCCCAGACAAACTGTTCAGCAAAAATACATTTTTTTGTACAGTCATATTTCACTTCCAAAGAAAGGCTTAATTTTTGGCAAATACCCAGTGCCTAGAACATCACATTAAGATTTCTGAGGCTGCCTAACAAAGAACCTATACTTTTTCCTTAATAAGCACTTACAGAGACTTTGCTGCAAGTGACTCAACGTCATTAGCAAGCACAGGCCATCTGAGTGGGTGCTATTTCAGTATCACTGCAGTTTTCACTCCCCTAGTATGTAATCAACTCTGATTTCATGCCACAAAATGTAACCCGGCCTCCCCAGGCCAAGAAACACATTTATGAATGGCTCCCCTTGTTAGACAGCTACAGCTGAGCCACTGACCTCACTTTCGTAAAAGACACAGCACTGTCGGATCGAGCGCATGCAAAGACAAGGAACAAGACAAAGAGCAAACTGAACTGGCCAACTCCCCAACTCACTAGGAACTTATCACAGAAGCAGCTTGCAAAAGCACAGCATGGTTTAAGCAGACCTCCCACCCTGGGTTCAGTGAAAAAGATAAAGGCAAAACAGATTTTTTTCCCCTCACAAGTATCTCATGCATAGGGTGGCTACGGTTAAGATTCAGCTCAGCAACATTCTACCTTCCTCTGCTGCCTGCCGGAGCGGTGTCAGTCAGTATGGATGCCAGATGACACAGACGAGGCCACTTTACATAAGAAAAGAACAAAAGGAACATTAAAGAAAAAAAAGACCCACCCTTTCTGAAAACAAACAAACAAAAGCATTTACAGCAATGCTCAGGCTCATTTATGTCCAACTTCTTCACTCATCTTTCTTTGCACAGAAAACAATATGACCAGTTACACGGAATTAAATCAGTGCACATTCTTACTACAGCTTTAAGTACCTCAAGGTACTTTTTTTTGTTGTTTTTAAGCCAAAGGATCAACCACAGAGAGCTAAAGCCATATAGGACTGAAATTGAGGTAAAAAATACAAATGTATTTAAATAGCCATAGATTTCTAATTTTCAGTTTACAACTATCTATCTGTAATACATGCTGTAAAAAGTTTAAAGCTAATAAACTCCTGCAAATATCATGAATACCTGAGAACGGAATCCCATTCTTTGTTTCTCACTGAGGTACTTCTGTATGAAAACAGGAGACATTTCAATTGAATCTTCTAGCAATTTTACAATTTCTTAGTTTTGCAGTCTTCTCTCAGTAACAATTATAAATTGTTAGTGCCTAGTACAAAGGCAGCTATAGGCAAACAGTGTATACAGCATGATTTTGTTAAGCTGTTAAACATACAGGACCTTTTCCGTATTAGAATACAGTTCCTCAAATTTTCCACCCAATCACAGATGGCTTTTTTGTGCTGGAGAAAACTTCCAGCTGTACACAGCAAGACTCTACCCCAGGTTCCTCAGGAATGCTGCGCCTTGAAACAGCACTCAGCAGAATTCGGAGCTGCCTCGGCAATTCTCGTTCAAGTTCCCGATGGGCAATTGGATTCAATCTACTGCTGGCAGTAACTCTAACGAGCACCATTACGTAGCCCTCTGGGTGACTTCTGGCCTACATGTTTGCCTGAGCAAGCAGTGATACTTCACTGCGTGAAAGAAAGGTTCATAAAATATAGCTCACTAATTAAAGAGTCACAGAGAATAAAACAAAACTCAAAAGCCCTGCTGCTTTCTGACATCCCAGTCTGATCACAGTGTTTGTAATTAACAGAAAACTTACAGAATTGTCACTAAGCTGCAAAGAACATATACTGTAGAGAAAGAGGATCTGACATAGGTTTACTTTTCATCACTAAGGCTTGTAGTGCTAACTTTTAAAATTTGAATCCAAACAAGTCTTAAAAGCTTTTTTCTTCTTTTTTTTTTTTTTTTAATGTTAGCCATCTCAACAATTATCAGAACTTGAACTTTCTTTTCTCTAACCCCCTTTCTCAAAAGCTGAGATCTTCTAGAATGACTCAGCCATCTCTTGGGAAATTCCTTAGCTCTTCAGTGAAGAAGTAGAAAGAACGTTAAAACCCTAAAAGGCAACTTTAGTGCTGAGTCAAGCAGGTGTTAAAAATATATTATACATAATAAAAAGTTATTAGTCTCTTT